AGACGTTTAAAGTGATCATTGATTGGGTGCATTACGTCTTGAAGTGAAGTATATGACAGCACGTTTTAATTGTAAACCGTATTGTGAGCAATTTACAAAAAACGAAATGATATTACGCATCAAGCACATGATGACACTTATTATAATTGTTTACTTTCGAAGTGTTTCCGAACTGAAGCTCTTAATAAAGACGTCGTATGTGGATGTTTAAAAGTGAAAATCAGATTACTGTAATGCAAATATAATATCAGCGGTCGTTTCAAATATTATTTTATTACTGTCAATTTTGATGATCGTACAGTACGTGGTAATCAAAATCACAGAAAACGATCATTAGAAAACGATCAAAATGATTACGCTCATCGTTCATATCGGTTAAAAATATTTAAAGAAATACTTTTTTCGTCTTATTATAACATTTAACTTATTTTCATAAAAAGTTTAACCAGTATTTTAGTTTATCTACTTGATGTGATATAAATGATTTTTTTCTACGGCATTGATGTCTGCGTGAACTGAAAAAAATTAGTAAACATAGAAAACAGATTTTATGTGTGTATAAATTATTGATTTTAATTTTAAGTATTCTGGATTATTAATAATCTACCGAAAAATAAAATAATTATTCTGTAAAAAGCGATGCGCTGGATATTTTAATTGGCATTTTCCAGATAATTAGCAGTTTTTCGGAAGTTACTGGAGAATTTCAGTGACGAAATAGTGTAGTAAGTTTTTTATTTGTGTTAAAAACTAAATATACATAATTCACTTTAAGATATTATAAAAAAAAAAAATCGTGTAACTCTTGATAAAAAATAAATAACGAATAATAATAGTAAATCATAATGAAAAATGAAGATATTATTTCTAAAAAGAAAGAATTATAAAAACATAATAATTTTTAGTCCTTCGATGTCCAAACACGTATTATGAGTACATAATCTTACGAACTACGAACATACGACATGGTTTAATTTATCACATCGGTTAATAAACTTTAAAGTGATCATTGATTGGGTGCATTGCGTCTTGAAGTGAAATGTATGACAGCATGTTTTAATTGTAAACCGTTTTTTGAGCAATTTACAAAAAACGAAATGATATTACGCATCATGCACACATTCGTACAATTTCTATCGCACCAAATACTGTGACTGATAAGATCATTCTGTATTTTAATAGAGTCATCAATTGAATATATATAAATATAAATTTAAGATCATCAGCAAATAATTGGTAGTCACAGAAACTGAAGCAAAACCTCATGTACAAAATGTAAATAGCAAATGATGGGGGTGAAACGTCACTCGAAAAATGCACCAAATTTTTGGGGCTGAACATTTTCACGAGCTCATTGACCTTCTTTTCAGACCAGTTTTCGATTCATCGCGTAATTGCCTACGTTTTAGTTTTTTTAACGAGTTGTCCTCGACTTTCTAAGTGTATTTAAATAATATTCAAAGTCGTCGGAATCGCACTATAAAATATCGCAAGAACCTATTTTTGGGAGCGCGATATGCAACTTAACGTACAATTTGATGATCGATAATAATGTGACAATCTTAGAAACCACTGGACTTCCTTATCAAATATTGCTAGCGGAACATACGCCAAATCTTTAGTAAATGTTAAAATTAAATAAACAAATTCCGATCTTAAGATATTTTGGACCGTTTATGGATCGGTTCGTAAGGTTCAGTCTGTATTAGTCCAGACCGTACTATATGATGTGTTTAATATTACACTGGACCAGACTTTATAAATAAATATATACCTAAAGTTGTAGGTTTTTATCGTTTTATTTGTTTACATAACAATATATTTGTTAAGATTTTAAGTATTATGATTGAGACCGGACTGGATTGATTTTCTTTACTTTTTTTTTTTGAAACCGGAAAGGACTGAAAATAATGCATTTGATCTAGGAACTACTCCTAAAAATTATTTAACCGAACCAAACCAACGATTCAATAATTTTTGTATGCAAGGACCGTACTAGACTGGACCATGCAGAGAACTATTAGACAGGTTTATAACAACAAATTATTTATTAAGTAACCATGGTTCCAGACAATGCATGAAATTTGACTCAACAATTATTTCATACGTTTTCGTATAAACTTCTGGTAGATGCAATTCAGCCTAAGCCGGCCCTCACACAATCAATATTACTGACAGTATGACTTGTGTGCTCCTCAAAAGTAAAAGTAATGGCTGCATATCACCGAAACAAAAATTAGGTACCTGTAACAAAAACTTGTACATCAAAACCTATGAACGGGTTCATAAATTAAAATGTTATTGTTAAGGGAAATATTGCATTTTAGGATCGGGTGGAAGCTTAGGTTAACTGTTCCTAAATTTTTTCATCATGTACCTATTGAGGACTAAATGTTTAAATTGCGACTTGCTTCATCGATGAATACCGTCAGTCACTGTTTGCGTATATTATATACGCCAAAAACACGACTTAGTTACGAATAATGTTATGTCAGCATATTTGATCATTCCGGCGCAATTTTTTATTGACCTAATGTAACAACCGATGGGTATCGAAGAAATGACTGTTGGCGGTTACGAATCGGTCGACGGATTCGTACGTATAGTTGGAGAAAAAAAGCATCGACTGTTCACCGTTGCTTCGACTAGAAAATCAAAAAGTCGTTATAAACACAAACGGCTTAACATAATGCATTAACTGTTGTACGCAACCATACATTATACAAGTATAAATTATTGTCGAGATAAAAACCATGGCGAGGGAAAATCAAACTAATACGCGCAAAGCAGGATTCAAACGATCGGAAGCAGTATATGACGCACGTAAAACAGGCGGCTTGACATTGACATTGCACTGAACATAGTTTCACTGAACGATCGAAACCTTTAGGGTGGATGTCATTTTGAAGGAATTTACTTTGCCACATGAGAGTTAGGAATAGCAAGTAAAAATCACCAATGAATATGTATACGTAAATTCCTACAAAAATAAAACCTATAGCAAATTGTATTGTATTAATAAACCTACAACTTTAGTTAGGTTCGGATTTATTTTTGGCACTTTTTTTTAGCCTCTTCTAGCTTTTTTTTCCAGCCTCATCAACAATCTCAGATGTTTTCCGGTAAGAATTACCGCACTAAATTGACGTTTTCATAATACTTTTACGCAGTAGCGGTGCGAAGTTCATTTTCTAACGAAATAGTAACGTGCATCTGATCACCCCAACTCAAATCAAAGTTTTAGATTCAGAGTGAATATTAAAATTAACGGGTCCAAACAAAATAGTATACGATGACATTTTACGTGAAATTCGCAAATTATGTATTAAAATTTTCTGTCACATAATACTACCCACCCAGTGACGGTGCTAGAATTTGCGAGGCCCTGGGCAAAATAAATGTTGAGTCTTATAATTTCTATTAATAAAATATTTCAAGTTCAATTAAATTAGAACCGCGGGGCCCTGGGCAACTGCCCCTATTGCAGTAGTATAGATTTGTAGGTTCTGAGTCCATTTTTTTAACTTGCAAACTTACAAAAAAATAAAAACGAACTCAGAACCTACAAATAGGATGTTGGAAAAATGGACTCAGAACCTACAAATCTATATTACTTATTGCCCTCCCCTCGCGCCGTCCCTGTACTCACCTCATTTTAGTCATGAAGAACCTGCTTCGATAAAACCCGAATCGCACGGCACCGTCCTTACGTTTATCTTCTCAAAAAAAAACAAAAATGTATAATAATAATTAGTTAACAATACATATAGAAATAATCGCACCACAT